TGGAGTCGGGTTTTGAGTATGGATACTCTTCCTTTACTTCAGGAGGCCTTTGCCTATGTACAGAATGAGGAGAGTCGTCGGTCTGCTATGATGTCCTCTGTCTTTACCGACCGCTCAACATTAATGTCTACCTCTAGAGATGGCCTCAGCCTAACTCTTATTCCTCCGTCTGCCGCCAAGGAGTCTATATTTTGTGATTACTGTAAGAAGCCACGGCATACTCGTGAGACATGTTGAAAGTTTCATGGGACTCCATCCGAGGGTTGAGGTGATCGGTCTGGTTCAAGAGGCGGTCGGTCAGGCCAGTCTAGAGGACATGGCTCCTATCCACGAGCTCATTAGTCTAGTGCTATTGACACACTTGATTCTGCTTCTGCTTCCGTTGGCCAGGCTTCTGATGGTCTCTCTAGCATGACTACTCATGATCTTGAGGATGTTCTGCGTCACTTGCTAGACCGCCGGTCTACTATTGCTCTCAGTGCATCTTCCTCGTCGTTTGCCCGCTCAGGTAACTTAGCCTCTTCTCCTTGTATTTTCCTGTCTCATACGTCTTTTCCCTGGATTTTTGATTCTGGTGCCTCAAATCATATGTCTGGTTCCTCTGACCTTTTCTCTGCCTATAAGCCCTTTTCAAGTCAGGACAAAATTAAGATTGTAGATGGTACTGTTTCTTCTATTTCTGGGAAAGGTTTAGTCCATGTTATTCCTACTTTACCTCTCTCTTCTGTTCTCCATGTTCCCAATTTTTCTGTTAACCTGCTATCCTTGAGTCGTATTACAAAGGATTTGAATTGTAGTGTGACATTTTTTCCTGATCATTGTCTTTTCCAGGACCATGTCACGAAGAGGACGATTGGCAGTGGTAGTGCAGAAAATGGTCTCTACTTCTTGGATCAACCGGACAAACTTGCTCATTCTTCCACCATGAGTCCTACTACTACAGATGATATATGGCTGTGGCATCGGCACCTTGGGCATCCTTCTTTTTATTTACTTAAACACTTATTTCCATCTGTTTTTTCAAACAATAATGTGTCTGAATTTCTTTGTGAGTTTTGTCAACTTAGAAAACAACACAGAGCTTCTTTTGCTCCCAGTTTTAATAAAAGTTTAGTTTCTTTCTCATTAATACATTCTGATGTCTGGGGTCCATCTCGTGTTGTGTCTTTGAAAGGTCATCGCTGGTTTGTCACGTTTATTGATGATTTTTCTCGTACTACTTAGGTGTATCTCATGAATGACAAGAGTAAGGTTTTCTCTGTGTTCAGTAATTTTCATAAGATGATTTGTACTCAGTTTAGGGCCACTGTCAAAATATTCCGTTCTGATAATGGGGGTGAATACATAGATTCTGGGTTAGGGCAATATTTTTCTACTCATGACATTATTCATCAGACCTCTTGTACCAATACCCCTCAACAAAATGGGGTGGCGGAACGTAAAAATCGCCATCTTCTTGAGATGGCTCGATGCATGTGTTTTTCTATGAGTATGCCTCGGTCCTACTGGGGTGACGTTGTTCTCACCGCTGCCCATCTTATTAATCGTCTTCCTACCCAGGTCTTGCAAAAACAAGCTCCTCTTCAAGTCCTCTTAGGTTCTCAGTCCTTGTTTTCTATTCCTCCCAAAATTTTTGGTTGTCTGTTTTGTCTATAATCACTCTCCTACTCGTGGTAAGTTGGACCACGTTCCCTCAAATGTGTTTTCCTTGGGTACTCTCCTACTCAAAAGGTGTATAAGTGTTATCACCCTCCATCTCGTAAGCGGTTTGTGTCCATGGATGTCACTTTTTTTGAGTCCCAATCCTATTTCTTGTCCTCTTCGGTGTCCCAGTCCTCCCTTCAGGGGAAGCCTTGGTGTGAAGTGATTCCTATGGTGGAACCAGTTGTTCTTGCACCACCCCCTCCTACTGGGACTACAGAACTCAATGTCACCAAGGATAGGGAAGGGCAAGTTTATGTCAGGGACAAAGGCAGACAAAAAGTTAACTGGATACAAGAGATTACTTCTGCTCCTCCACTACCATCTCCTGCTCTTGATGAGAGTCTAGGTAACTTTGAATCTCTTGAGTCTATTGATCTTGATGTTCCTATTGCCAAGAGAAAGGGTGTGAGATCTTGTACTCAACATCTTATCTCATATTTTGTGTCTTACTCTCATTTGTCATCCTCATATAGAGCGTTTGTGTCAAATATTTCCTCTGTTAGCATTCCTAACCATTTTCAGGATGCTCTTGCTATCTCTGAGTGGAAACTTGCTATGATTGAAGAAATGAAAGCACTTAGGAAGAATAGCACTTGGGAATTGACCGAGTTACCTAAGGGCAAACGACCTGTGGGATGCAAATGGGTATATACTGTGAAACACAAAGCGGATGGTTCTATTGAGTGTTACAAGGCAAGACTTGTGGCAAAAGGGTTCACTCAGACATATGGTGTTGACTATCAAGAGACCTTTGCACCCGTGGCTAAGATGAATTCAGTCTGATGAGAGTCTAGGTAACTTTGAATCTCTTGAGTCTATTGATCTTGATGTTCCTATTGCCAAGAGAAAGGGTGTGAGATCTTGTACTCAACATCTTATCTCATATTTTGTGTCTTACTCTCATTTGTCATCCTCATATAGAGCGTTTGTGTCAAATATTTCCTCTGTTAGCATTCCTAACCATTTTCAGGATGCTCTTGCTATCTCTGAGTGGAAACTTGCCATGATTGAGGAAATGAAAGCACTTAGGAAGAATAGCACTTGGGAATTGACCGAGTTACCTAAGGGCAAACGACCTATGGGATGCAAATGGGTATATACTGTGAAACACAAAGCGGATGGTTCTATTGAGTGTTACAAGGCAAGACTTGTGGCAAAATGATTCACTCAGACATATGGTGTTGACTATCAAGAGACCTTTGCACCCGTGGCTAAGATGAATTCAGTCAAAGTACTACTCTCTCTAGCAGCTAATCTAGATTGGCCACTTCATTATTTTGATGTAAAGAATGCCTTTCTCCATAGTGATCTTGAAGAAGAGGAATATATGGATATTCCTCCTAGTTTTGAGGATCATCAGACAAAAGGTAAAGTATGCAGGCTTCGGAAGTCATTATATAGTCTCAAACAGTCTCTAAGGGCTTGGTTTGAGAGATTCACTCAGGCTATGCTTAAGTATGGCTTCAAACAGAGTCAGGTAGATCACACCTTATTTGTGAAACATTCCTCACTTGGTAAGACTACAACACTCATTATTTATGTAGATGACATAGTTCTTATGGGCGATGATAGTGAGGAAATTCCTCAATTAAAGAAATATTTAGCCAGTGAGTTTGAAATCAAAGACATAGGGAGCTTAAAGTATTTTTTAGAAATTGAAGTTGCTCGCTCCAAGGATGGAATATTTATCTCACAGAGGAAGTATGTGCTTGATTTGTTGAAGGTAACTGGAATGCTTGGCTGCAAGGCCTATGACACTCTACTGGAACCCAATCAAAAACTAGGGGACGATGAAGGAGGAGTAGCGGTTGACAGGGGAAGCTATCAGCGATTAGTGGGTAAACTCATTTATCTATCTCACTCATATCCTGATATTGCTATTGTTGTTGCTGTCAGTGTGGTTAGCAAGTTTATGCATGTTCCTCATCAGATTCACTTCGAGACTGTCATGAGAATTTTGAGGTACTTGAAATCTGCTCCTGGGAAAGGTCTTTATTTTTCAAAGTATGATCATCTTTGTGTGGAAGCCTATACAGATGCTGATTGGGCTAGATCAATGACTGATAGGAGATCGACTTCAGGGTATTGCACTTTTGTTGGAGGCAACCTAGTTACTTGGAGGAGTAAGAAACAGAATGTGGTTGCCAGGTCAAGTGTAGAAGTTGAGTTTAGAGCTATGGCACAAGGCGTGTATGAGCTCTTATGGATCAAGTTATTGTTGAGTGATCTAGGTATTGATCAGACGAACTTCATGTGGTTATACTATGATAATAAGGCTGCTATTAATATCGCTTACAATCCGGTTCAACATGACAGGACAAAGCATGTTAAGATTGATTGCCATTTTATTAAGGAGAAACTCACTAGTGGCACAATATGTACTCCCTTTGTGCGGGTCTGGTGAACAACTTGCTGACATCCTCACCAAGGGAGTTGGGAGTACGCCATTTCATGACATCTTAGGCAAGCTGGGCATGAAAGATATCTTCGCACTAGCTTGAGGGGGAGTGTTAGAATAATATATTATTATTTTAGTTATTATTTTGTAATTATTCTATGCCTTAGGGCTCCTCTTGTAATTATTAACTTCATTAATATAAATAGAGGACGATATCCTAATCATACCCTAATCTTGAATTCTCTAAAATAACATATTGCAAGTCGACAAACAGTCCCTAATCCAAGATCTCCACCGCCCACCATATCCTTTCTTGTCCATTGCAAAATCCAAAAACTGCTAATCAACATGGTCATATGCCTTTTCAAAAGCTACCTTAAAAATAAGACCCTCCCTCCCTGAACTCCTATATTCCTCCACTACTTCATTTGCCACTAAGGGTTTTTGCTCCTCTACAGTTCTTTTCATCAAGTGTCTTCAGTTTCAAGCTTATACGAGCCATTTGTGAATCAATAAGCTCTCTTTGTCGATACTTTCCACCTCCCCCGATTGAAATTTGTTAGGTTTTTAAATAAAACAAACAGCATGTTGTAAGTCAGTTGTGTGGTTTTGATTGTGGATAGGCTAACTGCATCAAAAGATCATCACAAGAAAAGTGAGGGACATTTTCAAATTACTTCTAGACAGAGTAGTTCTGATTAACTCAGGTACATTGGCACCACAATATGCCAAGTTAACAAGGAAGAAGAAGGTTGGGGACAATATAAATTTGTATCAAATTAGAACTAATAAAACACAAGATTGACCATGTCATGAAACATGTCATGTCATAATCCATGTAACAAAAAATAAAATAAAATAAAGGAGAAACAACAACATGAATAGATGATGAACTTACATGATTGGCTTTCAACATGCTCAAGAAATTTCCTAGTCTCTTTACAATCCCTTGCCAGTGAGCAATCAAAATCTCCAGAGCAGCGGCATTTGCAAGCGTACGAGCTGTCCCCTTAATTAAACTTGCTCTAGAGATTCTTGGTGCCTACACCATTCAAGGTGCACACACAAAGTGGTTCAGTGAGAAGATTAAGACAGTATATCACTATATTAGTTTTGCTTAAAAAATGTGATTACTTAGCACACATTCAACCACCTGAATGCACAACCCAAGCAACGGAGAAATCTCCTTTTTCAGGTTATCGCGGATCATCCCATATATCTTTTCCACATATGCTGTCAGCTGCTGTTTAAACAGCAATGCAGGGTATTTGGCTTCAACTTGGCATAAGGTATCCACTCCTTCAGTCATCTCACCATTGTCAAGAGAAAGATTGACACCTTGTGGACTTCCACGGAAACTCTAAAAAAGAATTTTTTTCTAACCTTTGAGATATATGCTTAATGGCATAAACTTTCAATTGGAAAAAAATGACATTTTTTTTTTCCTAATTACCAGTGTCATTCTCCCAAACAGAGTTGCTGATGATTGTCGCCGGTGTTGTGGGGCCATCCCAGCTGCACCACTTGCTTTCAATGTACGTTGCAACAGCAACAACAGAGTTGACGCGTTGGATAGCCAATAGGCCAAGGTATCATTGTTGTCCTGAGTCTTTAATTCACAAAAGTAACTCTCAAGTTCTAAAGAGACCGCAGATGACATAAAGACAAATTAGCATTTCAATAACAAAGCATTGGACTTAGCATTTAATACCTCAATCGCATGGCCGATAGTTTGGATAATCCGATCAAAAATGCTAGTCCGTTCAACTTCAAATGATCTCCACTGCCTAAGGCATTTGTATATGATACAAGCAGCAACAGGTCTGCCCCTACTAAAGCCTAGGTGTTGAGCAATACATCGGATGAACAAGTCCTGATACTCCTGCTGCTTGTCATTAAGTGATTTTTGTGGTCTCTCCTCTACCTCCGACTGATCCCTCGAGTTCATTGAAACACTGTGCAGATCCTATTACATTTCAAAGTTGATCAGCAAAATCTATAACAGACAGTGCAACTGAAACAAAGAAATAGATTCACTTCAACTTACCAAGGAAGTTTTTGTACTTTCCGCCCTCTGCCAAATGTCAGAAAAGAATGAAACATGATAAGATGAAAGCAAACAGTAATTCACAATCCAATATGCATGACTCTATTCTAGGATTACCTGAACAATTGACCTAGAGCGTCCAGAGAGGAGCTTATTATTTTGGGCCACGGTTAGAGCCTGCTGGCGAAGAACTTTATTTTCTGACTCTATGTTGGTGACCTTCTCTTCAAGCCTAACCAAGGAAGGACAGAATTCCATTAACTTCTCCTTTTAGAATGGTAAATGGTTGAATTTTTTCTATTTTCTAGGGACAAATACATTACTAATAGCCAATTGGTAGGTGACCGATCGATGATGTTCACTACAGTTATTCCACAATACTGTGGTTGGTAAGAAATTATATGGATGGAATAGACAGAAAAGAAAATGCCAAAAACCAAAAAATTATGCTCATCGCTTGTCAATGCTCATTCATGTTCAAAAAATAAATACTAGTTTGGAATTATAGTGTTTTTCAATTGTCATAGAAGCCCAACAAGCATGATGTAGAATTAACTTAACTAGTAGATAATCAATGCAGTGTCACCACAAAAGAACCTCAAAAAGCAAGAACAAATCTTCCTTTAGCCACAATAGGGAATATGGATCGGAATGTGAACATAATGGACAATTTTATTGTCTTGTTACCACAAAAGAACTTCAAACCATGTGGGTATTAGATTAACCAAAAAATTATTTAGCAGTGCTAAGTTATCAATTTTCCCAAGAGCTTAAGCTGTAGGAAAATGGGTCCAACAATGTATATCAAGCTTTTTAACACCCTCCTTCATGTGCAACCTCATCTTGCACGTGGAGATGCAAACATCCATACATAGAAAAATAAAAAATAAAAAAATGCAAACGGGGATCAAATGCAAATGGAGCAACTTGAACCTAAGACCTCTTCCCAACCTGAGCTCTAATATCATGTAAAATAATTTTTCCAAAGTTTAAGTTGCTAGGAAATGGACCAAACAATGTATATCAAGCTATTCAACAAGCAAAAACTAAGAGCATACTGCCAGCTAGATGTCCTAATAAACTGTAAAGCTTGATCAGAGAAGAGAAAGACAATCACACTCCCAGGATCACTTACAATGACAACTGAGAAAAGAATTTCACACTTTCACAACCCAACTTTACCCATAATTTAAGAAGACAACGTAAACCACGCTGACAAACCAATTAATTACAAGCATAATATAATAAATTAAGAAAGAGTATGTTATTTAAGTTAATTTGAATCAAGAGGCTAATCAAACTTTAAAACCGATAAAACCTATATATATTAATCAAACAACCAGTTAGTGGTTGCTAGCGCATGCTAAATATTAATACACTAGCAATCTAGAAGATGCATGCTATTTATTTTGTTCACTTTTGTATCTAACAAGGTAAGAAAAGGGTTGCAAATGAAGCAAAAATCACTAGAAAGTGTATTTTTCCTCAACCTACTTCTTTACCTCTTATGTCGAGCTTGATTTCAGTTTCCAATTAAGAATAAAAAATAATCACATTATGGGGTGCGGTTTTGGAAGGATAAGTGGTGTGGGGAGGTTACCCTTCATGAGCGTTTTCCTCTGATCTACCGGTTGGTAATGGACCCGGAAGTGATGGTGGCTTCTTGTTTGGCCAGAGGTGGTACGGAGTTGGTTTGGGATATTGTTCTTTGTCGCCATACTCAGGATTGGGAGGTAGGGCAGTTGGTGGAGTTGATGACCTTTTTGTATGGGGCCCAGGTAGGTCGAGAGGTGGAAGATGATGTGGTCTGGGGAGTTCCTGGGGCTAAAGGTGTTTTTTCAGTCTCGTCTTTTTATTTATCCTTGTGTGGTGGTGGCGGGGGAGTGTTCCCTTGGCGTGGTGTGTGGGTTTCTGGTGTTCCATCGAAGGTGGCTTTCTTTGTGTGGATAGCAGCTTTTGGTTGGATCTTGACTATTGATAATCTGATTCGTCGGCATCATATTCAGGTTAATTGGTGTTGCATGTGTTGTGCGAATGCGGAGACAGTGGACCATTTTCTGATTCATTGCCCGGTTGTATCTCGTTTATGGGCGCTTGTTTTCTCTCTGTTTGGTGTGGTGTGGGTTCAACCGAGGCAAGTTATGGATGTGTTGCGTTGTTGAGGGGGTGATCGAGTTGGGAAGCGGCGTCGGCAGGCGTGGGCATTAGCGCCTTTGTGTTTGATGTGGTTGGAGCGGCATTGTCGGATTTTTCAGAGAAGCGCTCAGTCCTTAGCACATTTAGAGTCTCGTTTCCTAAGTATTTTGTACAGCTAGGTGTTAAGAAGGGTGAATCCTGACTTATCTGTTCTTTTAGACTTTGTTGATGATATAGTTAGTTAGGCCCTTGCTTTTCGTAGGGTTGATTTTGTATTCTTTTAGCATATTCTTGATGCTGTGGTTATAAAATTTTACATATCAAAAAAAAAAAAAAAAACCTACCAATATTCTTCGCCTCAAAGAATCAACTTGTGAACATTTATCCATTACCAATCCTTAATATCCTCCATAATCTACTCCAGTTCAACTGATGCACATTTGTTCTCGTTGTTCTTTCAGAAGAAACATCTATCTTCTATTTTCAGCCAAGACTTGTTACTTTAATTTGTTGTTCTTCCACTTGATACAACCCAGTAAAGAGTCATATTATACTCAGATACTTTAGTTGAGAACACTTGATCATCCAAATATTAGTGTAAGTTGCAAAAATTTTTGTTTCTTAAGCTTCACGAAATCTCAAGACTTCATAATTAAAAGGCAAAGGCAGACAACTCGTCACATTCACAAAAAGAAAATAATACCCGTTTAACCTCATTAAAGGTTGAATTCTTGTTGGTGACCCAATAAAGCAAATATTAATATCTTGTTGGTGACCAATGAAAAGACCTAATTAAGCTAACACTGAAGAATGGCATATCCAAATTCAGATCTATCAAAATCGTGAGTATATGATCAAACTTAAAAGGTTATGCTTTGATGCTACCTGTTCAACAATTCCTGAAGTTGATGGACCTTTTTTTCAGTTTCTTCTAACTTCTTTTGCTTCTCTTCACTAGCTTCTAAGGCTTCTGCACATTTCCTTTCAGAATCATCAGCTCGTTCTTTCTCCAAATGGAATGAAGCCTATACAACATAAACCATGGTAAAGATTAACTTAATAGAATGGGCAAAAGCTACACAGTGTTTTAGACAAATGAAAGAAAAAATATACACATATATACACAACATCAAGGAGAAGACACAAAATAGGTTAATCGAATAGCTATATGCCATGCGTTAATAAGCATATTATCTTCTTCGTCACAAGGCATCCATTGCAAACCAAAATGTTGACCCACCAAGTGACAAATCAATAGGAAGGACCCAATTGTCTAGACCAATGATTACAACAAGGTATGGGAGAGGTAGTAAGTGGGAAGCCCTGCCTTTCCGGAGAACCTTAATTGACTGTCAATCATGCCCATAATGCCCAGTGCACAAGACTACTGCTTACAACAAGGTATGACGGAGGTAGTAGGCAGGAAGCCTTCATTAGTGGAGGTAGTGACATCGTACAAACTATAGCTCAACTAAAATTATTCCAACAAAAGTTGAGAAATATAAAAAATGTGTAAGCAAGCAAGATGTGTAATTAAGAACTTGAATTCTCATCGTATAACCAGCAAATGAAAAGCCCACAAACAAATAATCCAAAGTTTAATTTGAAGAAAAACACACAATCATGTTATATTTTGAAATATAGTATAAAAGAAAAGTTACAAGACAATAGAATAATGTAAATTGGAAGGAAAAAGAAAAGAAATAAAGGAAGGACCAATATGGAGGTTGCAATGCAATTGTCCATACCACTTGATCATAAGAAACAAAAAATATGATTGGATTAGGATAATCTAACTCCAACACATGCTACCAAAGAATAGAAGTGGAGTGAGGAAAAATAAGGAAGTTAAAGACAGGAACATGCGACAGGCCAACCATTCTCAAAACTTCTGAAAATCCCCTTTCTAAAATTTTAATTAGCTTTTTTCTAGAAAGGTTAATAGTAATAATAATACTGATAGAAGGCTCCAACAAGATGCCAATCATATACGCTAGAAGAAGAAACAAAATATCAGATTCTTCTTTACAACACCTCTTACTCTAAAAACTCTACCAAATCCAAAAGTCCAAAAATCAATTCAAGGATGGGCTAGTACACTTGAGAAGCAAACATGCAAGAGAGTCAAAATTATGTTCCCCAACATAAAATAAAAGAGGTCAACCCCACCAAAAGTCCTCCAATTACTTTTTCCCCAAATAATTCAAACAAAAAGGCATCAACAATTGAGCTATTCCCTTCTCTTCCCCAGTCTAGCCCCCTCCAACACTCCTAGAAACACCCACATCAACACAAATTAAGAATCATAACCTAAGGGTCTTGGCACCATAAGTGGATGAGGAGATGATTGACCAATTCCCCCATCTTGCTTACAAATGCAACAATAATTAATAAGAACTTGCCACCTCCTAATCAATCTATCAATGGTTCCGATTTTTCCATGCACCATAGTCCATGCAATTCTTCCTCCTCCCGATCATTCAACTCTCACACAAAACACTTCTTTGCCATGGAGGGTCCTCCATCAATTACAATCCGGGAAAGTCACCTTGAGCTTCTCCTTATCACAGCAAAATTGACTCCAAAAACCTCACCGTTTCACCATTCTCAACAACTGACCTCGTTCAATCCCAAAAATCACTCCAACCTATTCAAATCCCTTTCCAAAGGCCTTTTCTTCTATGATGCAGAAACCTCCTTGAAATATTGCAATTGAAGAAAATGCAAAAATTATATGTCCCGCATGTGCATCAATTTAGGACCCCAGTAGACTGTTATATAACTTTAAGTTTCAGATTTATCCAAATCCACAATTTTTTACTTCATTCCTAGTGGTTGGAAACTTGTACTCTTTCAAGTAGTCATGTGATAGACATTCAGCGACGGAATGAGCAACATGGAAAATGGATGAGAAATGAGCAACCTAACCACTTTAACTAAGGATTATGTGCTCATAGCCCACATCAGAATGCTAATGAAGCAGTAGGTGTCCCATTAGTTTTAAATAGGCCTTGTTCTTTCACTTGCACAGACACTCTTGTTATTGTTTCACATTCCTCAACTTTGCTTCAGATAGCTATCCTTTGCCAGCCATTGGTCTCATTCCTATAGGATGAGTACTCTACTGCACAAGTATGTAGATTAGAGGTTCAAGGTTTGGAAAATTGGAGTCTTGTGCCAAAGCTCTAGCATGAGGTTAAGAATACGTGATGAGGGTTGTTGTCTTTGCATCTGTGGCTGTGTCACCAGGTTGCTTCAATGTATTCATAGTTGGACCACTTGTGAAGACAAATTTGAGCATGGAAATGCTGTCGCACAGTTGCCTGTTTGCACTTTCTCTACATCTCCGAAATGAAATTGGATTGTGTTGCTTGGGGGCTGTTAAAAATTGAGGACAAGTTTCTTTAAAGAGGTGTAGTACTGATGTTGTAGAATAAGTTTTGTAAGTGTCAAAATGAGTCTTGTGCCAAGTGTCATTAGTTCTTGTATTAGGTGTCCATATTACTTGTGTTGTTAGTGGCTTTAGTCTATAAATAGATGAGGTAAGGGTGTTTGTTTGTACTTACTTTTGATTAAAAGAATATACATTTTGATTGGAGTAGAACCTCTCTTTCTCTCTCTAACCGTTACGGATTTACCCCTAATTGGGAATTTATTCTCTCTCTTGATTTTAGATTCTTGATAGCATTTTATTTGCATCAGAAGTCAAAGTTGCTCATGAGGGAAAAAATCTCACCTTTGGGGCTCACATCAAACCTAAAATGTTGCCTCTCAAGGGGCATAAACCTCACTGCCCATGTTCATCTTATGTAAAAAATGGAAGCATGGGGAGAAATCAATAAAATTTAAAGTTTTAAAAACTTTTATTTCCAACAAGTTCCTCAAAGGGTCATCTTTTGCTATGTTAAAGGATGCAGGGGCTATGGCTTTACTTAAGCTACATGAATTCATGATCTTTCTTAAAGTAAGGTTTAGGGTTGGAATTATTCTAATTGGGTTTCTGTAAATTAGTTATCCGTGAACTGTTTAGATTATAGAGTTCTTATTAAAGTATAGCTGACACTATGAGATTGAACATTTTAGCCCAATTCCATATGACTCATTGCACCACCATACCTATCAAGCCAAATTAGAGAGTTTCATATGACCAGGAAATGGATCAGTGATGGCATTTTGAGCTAGCAAATACTATAGAAAAAGGTGAAGATCTTTGTTGATGTAGAGAAAGGAGCATCAAGGCACTGGTGCTTTCTCAAATTAGTCCACACTTGCTAAAGTACCCTCATTTCCCTAAATGAGGATTGAGTATCCTAGAATGAAAGCTCAATTAGGACATTTTTATTTTTTTATTTTTGATAAATAAAGCTCAATTAGGACAATTACAATCATTCTAATGATCCAAAGCCATAATGTTGATGAATAAACACTATTTTGTCACCATCCTAACCCTAAAATATGTGGTCTGTACATCTGGAAGCCCAAGTATAAAAAGAGCTTCACTTACACCTATTTCACCTGCAATTGCATGTTTGGTGCATAAAGAGTATAATTTGAGTATGTTTACACTTCCATAAGCAACCAGAGATTTTGTGCTGTTCACTCTTAAAAACTGAAAGACGCTTTTAATTTTCTCAAAATTTCTCCCTCAAATTCTTAGACTTTCTACTTACTCCCTCTTAAATGTCTTCAACAAATTCTTTTACCCTTTAGGCCCTATTTGTTTACCAGATATAAAGGTCGGATATGGGTGTGGGACCGGATATAACATGAGGTGGGTCCCATATGTTTTTTTGTCGCCCTATATCCCGTGTTTGGTTGCTCTGGATATAGGGAGTTCGGATAGTATATGATGCAAAAGGAGAGATATGCAATACCACCTCCCCCATGGTATTGTATATTCTCCACCGTTAGATATAGCTCATCTTTAATCCAAAGGTCAAAAATAATCACTCTTCTCTTATCCCATCTATATCCCATCTTAACTAAACATAATATAAGTGACCCCACAGTATATATAATCCATCTCATATCCTACAACATATCATATCTCATCTTTATCCTTAGGTATTACATATCCTCCTAAAACTCTTATATCCAATCCGGACAATAAAACAAGGCCTTAGGTTCTTCTCTTTGTTTGGTGTAGTATTTACTTCAGAGAAAACTTAGGGACTATATATAAATAAATGATGACACGCTTGAACGAGGTCTTGGTTATTTAGGCCAACCAACAAGAAAAGAAAAAATGAATGAAATGTGAAAAAAAACATAACCAGAAATACCTTCAAGTTTTCCACTTCAGTAGTCAGAGTCTCAATCTTTTCAGTATCTTGGACAAGCACAGGAGTTTCTCTGACAATAGAAGATACTTCTTCAATTGCCTTTTGTGCAGCCTCGCGTTCCTTTACAAGCAATGAATTTGTTTCATCAACTTTGTTTTGCATAGTTTGCAAGGAATGTTGCAACTTCGTTATCTCCTGCCCTTTTGCCTCTTCCAAATCAGTCTGTCCAGATCATTTTAAACCTCAGTTAGAGGCCATAAAAGCATGTAGCATGACTTCTATCAAATACGAAATAAAATAATCATCAGAGGATTAGCTATTGCCAATGAAAGTCATTAAGCAATAAGCAGTGGAAGAAAACTATAGTGCTTACTGCCATAGATTAGATAGATTTGGATTTCAACTCATTTTTTTGATAGGAGGCTTTGGAAGTCAGGTTAAATCCTCATCATAGAAAATCCACAGACCAAATTTTATATATCCTGCAGAAAATGTAAAGTACTTTGCACAACATATATAGATATGTATAGAAATTACCCTCAAACGTTTTTCCAACTGCATACGCCATGTGAGTTCTTCCACCTGTTTCTCAAGCTTATCCTTTGCTTCTTTCAGTGCACCTGTTTCTCTTGCAGCCTAAAAAATATTGCATATGCACACAAGGGATGTACAAATATAAGAGTATTGCTAGGGAAAATACAAGCTTCTAAATTGGTGTAGCAAAAAATACCATGTACAGACTTTTATGCTCTATAATCAGGGGTGTGTATATGCGCACATTCACATGTAGGCATCTATTATTACGTGAAAATGTCATCAACAAAAAATATCATGTTTTCCATCTGAATTCCACGTTTATCACATGGATGCTTTTCCAGTGCATTAAAAGTGCATTAAATGCTCATCATTGCCACTTCAAATGTCCCAAAGCAATTAAACATGCCCTCATGCTATAAGCAGCATTTAAGCCTAAACCATCTCTGATTACATCCAATTCTTACGACTAAATAGCTTGCAAACAATACCCACAAGTTAAGGTAAGGATAAGGGGCATACATAACTTTTTACAACGTCAATAGCACGAGAATACCGATACCTACCATCTTTAGTTTTCGAAGCTCTTTTCTGCCGACTCTTCCCCGCCATCTGCATTGTGTAACAATGGATGCCCTTTTTAGTTTCTTGTAGTACAAAAAAGCTCTATGACCACGCCAATGGGCCTGCAAGTAAATTTTTTGAGGGGTAAAAGCCATACTTTGAAAACATAACATGCATCAATTTAAACCATTCAACCAATACACAAACAATAAATTAAAAACCTGAATAATAATTGCTGCCTTTGTCCGCCTTTTATATCTGAATTTATTACGGGCTGCCATTGCCCGCAAACCTGTCTGCAAGACAAGAACTGATAACTCGAGTCTGGTATAGGCTATTTTGGCTAAATGCCTACGCAAGCTTGTCTGAATTTTAAGAGCAGCTGCCTCCCTTTTCATGTTGTCAAATATTTTGCATGCAAGTCTTCCTAAAAGTCATAACCAAATTTCCAAAATGGTGAATTTATATATGATGATGAAAAAGAAAAGAATGGGTAGTTAAGTCCTAGTGTGCAAGGACAGAAAAGAGAAAATAAATAAAAATGTGTATGAGGTAAAGATAAACATCCTTCCAATAAGTACATCAGCTGAAAAATAACAGAAGTGTACTTTCTAGAAAATGCAGTACTTCTAGGAAGGGAAAGTTTTCATACTTCAAATTTGCTGACACACCTCTCAATATAGATTGTATGGATACACTAGCTTCCCGCAAATCAATAAACCATTTGCGAGTAATATGAGTTCTAATCTGCCTTTGAATAGTCTTGGCAGCTTTGTTAAGTTTTTCCGCTCTCCGCGCATCTAGCTCAGCCATCTGACCAGCTCTTAAAAAAACCTTTGTTTTTCCTATCTGCAAAAGCATTTATATACCCCATTAAATAGAAGAGGTATCTAGGAAGCTCAAATTATAAACCAATATGTGCCATAATATTCACACCATTATTTTAACTATATGAAGCAACCTAATGAGAAAGAATTATAAAGCAATACATTTCAACCCCTTTCACCTGCTTGCCCCGCCTGCCCACCTGAGTGCGGGAACACAAGGCACAAGCATGAAAGTATCTATTTCCTTCTTAAAAAATAAAAAATAAAAAATTACCTATTATTTTTATATTATTTATTTTTGACAGATGAACATATATTTAAATATTTCAAGGAGCATTACAGCACAGAGAACATAAAGCCATTATTAAAATCTGAACATAACTCCATGAAGGAACATGGTTCAGTTCTCAAATAAGTACAATAAAAAGGAAACACAGTATGCATAGTTATAATAAAAGAAGCATGGTTAATTGCTTCAAATCAAACAAGGAAAATACAAATTAAGAAACTTAAAAATAGTCACATGAAATAAAGGCTCATAAGGTACACACAAACACAAGAGGCAAACTTCGGATTAAAGCTTAAGTCATGAGACCAACAAGGATACCTCTTGAATTTTAAAGTCCAAGGCGTTTCAACCAATTCAAGAGTCTCAAAAAAGCCTTTACTGCCTCAACTTCAAGCATGCATTAGTGTCAAATTAGGAGTTTCGCAAGGCCCAGTTAAGGAACAACCAGTTTCTCAACATGCAAATGAGACTTTGTATTACCTGAGACCCCATGAGTTGCATCTTGTCCAAAATCCTTTGGCAAACAACCTTTTCATCAACACTGCTAATACATACAACAAATGTAAAAATCTAACCATGTTAAATAAGCAGCAGCCGGAGCTTCCAAGTGGACCAAGCCCAAAAAAAGGTTAAATAAAAAACTAGAGTGTCTCAACTCAGTTTGGGACATAGACTTACTTCCCTTCCAAAGCCTCGGGAGCAAGGAGGCCAAATCGATTCAGAAATTCAAAAAATGTCTTGCGGGTTGGGTATCCAGCACAACTAATTCTTATTGCCTCTAGAACACCCTATATTGACAAAATGAGCATGAAATACATGATTTTTACAATATAAACATAAATAAAGTACCATACCAAATTTCCAAATTGTACTCACACCACAACGTAGTTGTTGCATGATATTGACATTCTCAAAGACAGCAGGTTTAAGAAGATTATTTGGCTTCACACATCTAATGTAGTGGGGCTCTGTAGAACTCAGTGTTTCCATTAGTTGTTGCAGTTGTAGCTGCATGAATTAAATTAGAACATCAGTGTTCAACATCTTGCGATAAGAAGGATGTTAAATTCTTGGTGAGGCAGATTTTGATTAAGAATGCCTTTCAATAACCAATTTATTAACAGTAAGCATGATGATCGAAACTAAGATACCTTAAAACGAGAACCAATAGACGAGAACTTAGAAGACTTGGATGAAGATTTGGTAGTGTCCTCCTGAAGTCGAGGGAAAAGGCCTGCTACAAAAGAACATTTGGAAGCACTCAACAAATCTTGATATTCGGGAACGACATAGTCTTTGTTTTTGTCTAGAAACTGATCAGATTGATAAAGAACCTGAAGAGAAAGAATAAAAAAAACTTTAACACAACAGCAACGGCAACCTACGTCTTTTTTTTTTTGGGGGGGGGGGGGGCCTTTAGTAGCAGCAACCCATAATAAACACACTTCATTGTACTACCCAAAAAAAGATAACAGGAATCTAACTCACCTCGCCAGCATAATGAGCAATGGTGAAATCTGTACGAGACAATTTTGGCTTGATAAAGCGTTTATGAACCTTGAATGTCTGATAAAGCTTTTGTGCTAATGTTTCATGAGTCGACTTCGGAAACATGCTGAAAACAGGAAAAGCCCATATAAGCAGATGAAAATGTCAATTAAGCATTGATAAACAAGAAGCATATAATCAACCTATGCACACACAAGCGCACACACCACATATATGTATATGTATGAATACATACATACATACAAATATTAATCAAATAAACTAAGAAGTACAAAAGAAATAGAAAACACTGGGTATAAAATTTACTATATTGGTAAAGATGGACACAGAAATGGTGTAGGAATAATTATAGCTAAACATCTCAAAGATAAGGTGGTAACCTAAGAAGCACGGACACGGATACGGATGCAAACACGGAACACGACGATTTCAAAAAAATGGGGACACGACAATAAAATATGTTTTCATATATTTTTATTTGCTATCTAGATTAATATTACATCTACAAACAATCAATATTAACAAAATCTAACTCTAGTTCTAATTTTTTTTTTCTTTTTAAAAAGCACTTTTAAATTAACGCTTGCAATTTATATATTTTTTTATGGATGATCTATTAAGTGTTTACATCTAAGAAAAAAACATTCAACATTCAACATTCATTAAAAGCATTGAATAAAATGGGAGAAAAGACAGTTTGGTGTGTCCCTAGTGTATTCTCAAAGTGTCCCCGGAAAATAAATTAATTAAATAAGGAGACACGCCATGTGGTGTGTCCCATACATGCCCCTGAAGTGTCCGCGTGTCCACGAATTGTCCGCGTGTCCAACACGGATACGGTACTTGTTTTGAAGTGTCAGTACTTCATAGGTAGTAACAGTCACAATTATAGGAGATAAAATAATGCTAATTAAGCTTGTAAATGGATAAAAGATAATTAATGTGATTAGTGTCTATCCTTATTGCATATGTTGATGATATAATGGAATTGGAAATAATATGGAATAAGTGTGTTGACTTAAGACAACTAGCCCAAGAATTTGAGATTAAAGACTTGGGGCCATTGAAGTATTTTATTGGGATTGAAGTAGCTAGATCTAATAAGGGTATCTTCATTTCTCAACGAAAGTACGTTCTTAATCTTTTTTAGGAGACAGGCATGATAGGCTGTATATTGACAGATTCACCTATGGAGGCTAATCACAAATGTAGTAGCGATGATGAAGAATCTGTAGACAAGGAGAGGTACCAGAGACTTGTCGGGAGATTGATTTATTTATTCCATATCAGAACAGATATTGCATATGATGTGGGGTTATTAGTCAGTTCATGCATAACCCGCGTGCAATACATCTTGATGTAGCTTATCAGATTTTGAGATATCTTAAGTCAGCCCCAGGAAAAGGTATACTGTTTTCCAACCATGGTCATTTGAGATTGGAAACATTTATTGATGCAAACTGGGTAGGCTCAATTGATGATAGGAGGTCTACATTTGGGTATTGTACCTTCTTGGGAGGTAATTTGGCTACATAGAGAAGTAAGAAGCACGTTGTGATTGCTAGATCTAGCGCAGAGGCAAAGTATAGCTATGGCACATGGTATCTGTGAACTTATGTGACTCCAACTATTGTTGCAAGTTTTGGGGTTTCTTGAAGTTAGTCCTATGAAATCGCATTGTGATAGTAAAGATGATATTAATATTGTCAATAATCCAGTACAACATGATAGAACATCACATTGAGATCAACAAACCTAAAAGCCCTTCTTTCTAAGTTAAGAATATTCTCATTCTTAGCTCATTCTCACTGTTGGAAAAAGCCAAAGAGGAAGAAGAGCCTTACCTGCCTTCCAGCCCAACCTTGTCTTCCTCATCAAGATTCGAGTTTTCTATTACTAAGTAGCATTTCCGGTATTCAATCATAGAATCGATTCTGATCAAGCTGAAAAGGCCCTTTTTATGTTATTAGTAAAGTGTTGACGAGCAAGAGAGGGCCCTATCTATAAGTATTAAAGAAAAGTTGAACAAGGGCTTGATTTGTTTGCCTTTTGTGAAATCTGAAGATCAACTAGCTGATGTGTTCACAATAGGGCTTAGTAGTAAAGTTTTCCATCCCATTGTGTGCAAGTTGGGCATGAGAAATATCTATGCACCAACTTTAGAGGAAATGTTACGTTACATTATATTATCCCCCATGGGTATTTTTGTATTTTCAACACTATTAGTATAAATATAACAGAATGACGGAGAAGCCCTAAGTTGCTCTCTCTATTCCATTGCTCAAAATCAGTTGTATCTCTTCTGTCATCGTTCTTCATCTTCTTCTCATAATCTGACACAATGTGGCGACATAGACATGCCACCCTACGAGGCATGTGTATACTTCCTGGCATACTAACAAACAGACAGCATATTATACATTCATGCATATGAATATATAGATGAGAAAAATTTATCTTACCAGGCTTCATCAAGTAAAGCAACAATCCCTCCAGGTTTCTGCAAAAACAATATAAATAGAATAAAGTTATATCAAAGATTGATGTACTGTTTGATTCATAATGAATTTACCATTAATTCATTTTTTTGGTTTTTTCTCTCTGATATATCAATAATCTCAAGCTATTCAAGGATGTCACAAGCATTCTGAAATTTATATAGACAACTTAAAAGAACACACTTAAATCACAATGATGAAACTAATATTGCACAACTAAAAGGGAAATGTATAAAGAAAAGAATGAATTATAATTCTAACGCTACCTCAGTTACTAAACTTAAAAAGTAAAAATATATACATAATTTTTTGTATTTTTTAAACTTTAACATTATTTTTTTCTGTAAAAAAAAATAAAAAAAATAAAATAAAATAACATAAAAAAAAAGAAGAACAAGAAGAAGAAGAAGAAAGAAAGAAAGAAAAACCTATAGTTTGGACCATAAATTGTACATAAGTAATGCAGTATACACAATCAGTACAAACATGACTAAGCAAAATAGGACAAAGAAAAACATTAAACAAATGTACAATAGCTGAACATGATTCTTCATATGAAATCAACTATTGTCAGGAATTTTACTATAGCTTGCTAACAAGAGCTAACTAAAAACTGGCAGGGTATAAATTCCAAGAAAATGTCTACCTCCGGACAATATCCATACAGAAGAATAAAATCCTCAAGCAACGAATAAGTAACATGACTATATTAGCAAAAGGATTAAAATCTAAAAACAAGGCACTCTGCAGTACACATTTTCCAAGTTCCATCCCATGCTTTTGCTTACAATCCTAGTGCAAGGATTATCTAACCACTAAATCTCATAGCATTATCAAATTCCCAATGATGCTAACAGAGACATCTATGCATTTATTGAAGACTAAAGACTAAAATTTATTTTTCTTGTGCAAAATACATTCTCTTTCTTCTAAGTGTTTCTCTCAAAACTGTCAACCACTTTCTCATTCTTCCAGGCATCTCTCTTTATTCTTCTCTCATTCTCTCGTCACTCTCTATTCTATCAGAGACTCAACCCTAACCCCAATGATCTCCCATAGTTCAAAAGCCCCAGTGTCCAAAAGTCCCCCTCTTACGATCTGATCACCCAAAGGAAAAAAACCCTGTTTCACAGCATCACGGCGTCAACGATCTTCAAGCTTCAACAATGGTGGATTACCGGCTTTCGAAAGATGATGGCAATGACGGCGGCGATGCGCAGCAAACTGTTAAAACCTATCACCTACTTCACCCACTTAAACCTACTCCACTAAACCTAACCCACTACACCACTACCACCTCACCTACTCCACTAAACCTAACCCACTACATCACTACCACCTCCACTTCACCTACTCCTTACCTACTACACACTCACCCTCTTCTATATATAGGAATCATGAATCATTGTAATAAATCAATAAACATCAATCAATAATACATAAATTTTTACACAAACTATCATGATGGCGAAATTGTGGATTGTTGGTTGCAGCAATGATTTGATTGATCTGGGTTTCGTTTTTAAGTTTTGGTTTTATGAATTATTGATCTTTAAGTTTAGTTTTTTTATTTTTTTTATTTTCATTTTTTAAGTTTAGTTTGGTTTTAAGGGTTTTGTTTTTTAGTATATCAGAAATCCTGTTTCTATATAAGCCATTTTGTTTCTTCTTCATCATTGAATCTGTTGAACCCTTCTATTAAATCCGTAATTGCTTTCATGAATATTTTGATATCTGTCTTTTGTAATTTTGAAACTGTCTGAATCCGACCAACAAACCGAAAAAGATGAACAGACAGTTTTGAACTAGCATGCGGTCAGAGTCAGTCAATCATATGCTCAACCCGAACAGCTTCGGTTGGATGGTGGGTTTGAGGCAAACCTAACTCGACCCGACCCGTGAACACCCCTAACTTGATTATCTATTAATTAGCCTTCCATGAAAGTTAAGAAACAGAGTAATGATCTGAAATCGATTACAGAATTGCGCGACCCGTGAACACCCCTAACCTGATTATCTATTAATTAGCCTTCCATGAAAGTTAAGAAACAGAGTAATGATCTGAAATTGATTACAGAATTGCGCGGCGGGGGGGGTGTTTTGCTCATCTTAAAATGCTAAGCAACTAAAACAGTTTTAGGTTATAAGCTTCTTAAGGGTTGGTTTGGAAAGTTACTTTTTTTAGAGTCTTTTTGGCTAAGATATGAGAAAAAAAATTGAAGGCTCCGTTTGGCACAACTCTCAAATTATAGTTTCACCTATTGATTTGAGTGTGCTGTTTGTTTTGAGTTTTCAAATCATAATTCAACACCCATTTCTCAAAACTCAATTCAAAACATAATCATTACTTTTCAAAACTCATAACCAAACACATAATTCAAAACTCTTTTCAAAACTCAATTCAAATCAATATTTTAATTTTTTAAATATTTTAAATATTTAAATATTTTAAAAATATTTTAATTTTGTTAAGATTTTATATATTTTAATATTTAAATATGTTACGATTTTTTAAATTTTTTTATTTTTTGAATATTTTAATTTCAAAATATTATGATTTTAATTTTTTAAATTTTAAAATATTTTATAAAAATAAATTCAAACTCTATTTTATCAAAATATTTTTAAATATTTTAATTTTTTTTGTTATGTACTTGGTTACGATTTGAGTGTAGAGATGTAAAAGTAGTATGGAGTTTCAAGTTATGTGTTTGGTTATGAGTTTTAAAAATAATTTCTTAATTGAGTTTTGTTTTATATGTTTGGTTACGATTTAAGTGTAGAGTTGTTTTTAAATTTAAAATATTAACATTTTAAATTATTTAAATTTTTTGAATATTTAAATTATTTAATTTTTTTTGTTAAAATAATTTTTTGAATATTTAAATTATTTAAATTTTTACGATTTAAATATTTTGAATATTTATTTTAAATTTTTGCTTATTAAATTATTTAGATTATTTAAATTATTTAAACATTTAAAATAAAATTAAAATTAAAATTAAAATTAAATATTTAAAATTTTTAATTGAATTTTAAAAAGAGTTTGGTTATGAGTGTTGATCAGAATTTTTCATAGTGTGAAAGTAGTGTGTTTTGTTATGAGTTATAACAATTTGAATTAAGTTTTGAAAACTCTTTCCAAAACTCATAACCAAACAAATTTTCTTACTTCACATGTCAAATCAAACTTTCAATACTCAATTTCACACTCAATTCAAAACTCAATTCAACACTCTATTCAAAAATCATAACCAAACAAATTTTCTACACTCAAATCATAATTTCACAACTTACAAATTCAAAATACAACTCATACTCTCAAATTATATTTGCAAAACTCTATCAAGCTTAACCTATTTTTTAACAATTAACAAAACAAAGATAAAAAAGTTAAAACATTTTTATTTTTTCACAATTATTGATTAAAATTTATATTTAGGTAATCAATTTTAATTTTTTATTTTTTTGGGTGTGTGTTGACTTTAAAAAAACTGAAAAGTAGGTAAGAAGATCGTAACCAAAGAGACCCACAGAGAAATCCAACCAATTTCCCCGGCGCACATTGTGTGACCCATTCAACACGCGTCCACAGTAGGACAAAATGTTGTTCCAAAAAAAAAAAAAAAAAAAAACAGTAGGACAAAATGGGTGGTACAAGGCGTCAAGCAAACGAGTTTCAAAGCAAAACGTTACGATCGAATTAATTTAATTATTTCCTATTAATAAAATATCTAAAATATTTGATAAAATAAATAATCAAAATTATCAAAACGAAACTAATAATATATCTCATGAGTTTAAATCTAAATTAAAGGTCGGAGAGAATTTACCTTTATTTCAAAATCACCAAATAAAAATAACTCCAAAAAAGGAGACAAATTGAGCATTTGACACATTTTGCATCTTAACGTTGTAATTTATAGCTTCTAACATACTCTTTAAAACTATAGATATTTTGTCTTTTTTATTTTTATTATTTACGTGTAGGTAGGGTTATTTTAGAAATATAGTTAAAAGTTGAATTTTTTTTTTTGTTTTTTTGATTTTTTTTATTGTTTCATGCAAAAGGTTATGGGAAATTCTATTTCACATACTTGATTAGCTTAGAGCACATCTTTTCGAAATATACATACCTATTAATTAATTAATTAATTAATTTTTTTAATCCACACACTGAAAATTACAATTATATCCTTCACTCATAACTATTGTATACATATCACTTAACCATCCTTTCCACACACTTTTGATTTACCCAACTTTCACATTTGCAAATTTATGGTTTTGAGAACCCGATGTTTATTTTTCTGTTTTCCAATTTTAGGTTTCTAAATGTTCTTATTAATTTGGATTCTTTATCTAGCTTTTGTTATTTTGCATAAAAATAAAGGAATTGGAATGGTTTATAGTGAATTGATTTTACATTCTTGATAAATTGAATTAGCTGAGCCAAACGAGGCTGCCTATTGGACTGCAAAAGCCTTTCTTAATGGCACCTTGCCAGTTCGTTGGGTCTCTAATGCCCTTTAGCTTTGTGTTATGCTTTACAGTTTTAATAGATCTTCTCTGTTACTTCGTTGAAGAAAAAAAAAAAAGTTATAGGTACGTGCTTGGTGGGTTAAGAAATGAAAAGGGAAGAAGGAAATTTTGAAAAAAATAAATAGAATTTGATCTTAGATAATGCAAATTTATGCTGTAATTTAATGAAAATCTTGACTCCACTTATTCAAAGTGACAATAATAGAAAAAATTAGAATTTATTTTTTTAACTCCAAATATATACATTGAGATTTTTTTATTCTTAAAAAATGTGTATATAGAATTTTTTCATATAATATTATGGGTGTTGCTAGATGTCTATTATGATCATTTTAATTTAGGATATAATTGTTATTAAATTAAAATTTCATTAAGGGTGTTTGGCAACTTAGGTTTTTGGTTATTTTTTAGTTAAAATTTACAAAAAAGGTAAAATATATTAAAATAACTAATAAGATAAAATGTCACATAAAATTTATAATTATTTTACTTTTTTTTTCATAAAAATTATATCCAATTACAAAAAAATTCAATCATCTTCTCAAATATAAAAATTTTAACCTAGTAAAATAATTGAAAACTAAACAACTTACTAAAATAACAACTTCTTAGGGCATCTGCATCTGCATCAAGCTCTTCAAATTTTTAGACTAATTTAACCCAAAATTCACTTTTTCTATTTTAACTAATCACCTTTTTAGTATTCACAGTATCAAATTCTCTATTCTAACTCAATCTTATTAAAATATTAATTTGTTATTGTATTTGTTATTCTTTCTTTTTTTTATTAAATTGCTGATGTGCCATCCAAACAATTCTTATAAAAAAAATAAATAAATAAAATAAAATAAAATAAAATTTGTCGTTGACTGGTCAACCGATTAGGCTAATTTTGAGCATTTTTCTTCTTCTGCTACAGGCAGTCACGGGACACTCGGTAGGATATCCGAGTGGACGATCAGTTTAAAGATTTTGGCCCAGTTCTGCTCCAGAAAATATAATAAAAAATCATGTATCTAATGAACAGTGTCTCAACAAGGTTGTTGAGGTACTGTAGCAAATTTAACAAAAAATTAATTTAAAAAAAAAATTATTAAGACTGATGGAGGAACAATTTTATAATTTATTAGTTATAATTTACTTTTTTATTATTTTGACTGTGCTAATGTGGATGCTCTAACACTACCATTTAAAACTTTGCCATCTCTCTCCCTTGGTCACATTTTCATTCAGACATTGTCTAAGATAGAGTTTATCTCCCTCATTCCCTATTGCTTTTGTAGTGACGATTCATCAACTAAACAAATAACAAAGATTGTTCTGCTTGGCAAATCAATACAAGTCACATGAAGAATTCGATCAACCTCAACTACAACAAAAAATCCTGGTTTGGTTTCGTTTTCGGCTTCATTTTATGGTTTCTATTGCTTTGTTTCCTCTCTTCAGCTTCATTTTCAGGCAACAACAACAACAATAGGCTCACCTTCATTGCCAACTACGCAAATTCATTCATCTTTCGAGACTCCACTTCTCATTCTATCTCTGAGAATGAGAACACAACTCAACTCGTCTCCAAACATGTTTTGGATTCGTGCTCGGGTCGATATATCTATGTTCATGATCTTCCTAGCAGATTCAACACTGACATTCTAAAGAATTGTTCATCACTAACCAAATGGTTTGATATTTGCAAGTACGTATCAAACATGGGTCTCGGTCCTCATGCCGCGGATTTTCATGGGATTTTCCAAAACAATATCAGTTGGTTTGAAACAAACCAGTTTTTATTGGAAGTGATTTTCCACAACAGAATGAACAACTACAAGTGCTTAACCAACAATTCATCTTTGGCTTCAATCATGTATGTACCATTCTACGCTGGCCTTGACATCGGTCGATACCTTTGGGGTTTCAACACTTCAATAAGAGATTCAGTACCCATTGAATTAGCCAAATGGGTTTCTGAGAAGCCTGAGTGGAAATCTATGGGTGGAAGAGATCATTTCTTTGTTGCAGGAAGGGTTACATGGGATTTTAGGAGACAAACCGACAACGATTCCGATTGGGGAAACAAACTCATGTCACTACCCGAATCCAAAAACATGACGATTTTGATAATCGAATCATATTCCCAAGCCGAAACCTATAGAGATTTTGCGATTCCATATCCAACTTATTTCCATCCATCGAGCGATGACGAGGTGTTTCAATGGCAGAACAAATTAAGGAAAATGAAAAAGCAATACTTGTTCTCTTTCGCGGGTGCTCCAAGACCCAACAATGAAGATTCTATCCGGAGTCAGATTATTAACCAGTGCCTTGATTCTGGAAAAAAATGCAAGTTTTTGAATTGTGCTTCGGGCGAAAACAAGTGTGATAACCCAACTTATGTGATAGAAATCTTTCAAAGATCCAAGTTTTGTTTGCAGCCTTCCGGTGATTCGTCTACTAGGCGATCAACGTTTGATTCGATCTTGGCAGGGTGCATTCCAGTTTTCTTTGATTCTAGATCAGCTTACGAGCAATATATATGGCATTTACCCAAGAATTATTCAAAATATTCTGTGTTCATACCAGAGGATGAGATTAAAGATGGGAGAGTGAATATTGAGAAGACTTTGAGTTGGATATCTGAAGAAGGGACAACAATGAGGGAAGAGGTTGTGAGGCTGATTCCTAGAATCATATATGCAAATCCAATGTCAAGATTGGAGACCCTTGAAGATGCATTTGACATAGCAATTGGGGGAGTTCTTGATAGAGTAGAGAAAATTAGGCAAGAGATGGAGGGAGGGAAGAGTACTGAGTTTTGAATTTGCTGCTGAGAATAGTTTCTTTTTTTTTTTTTTTGGACAGTATTTTTTGGTTAGGAGAGAGATTGTATTTGGTTATTGTTTTGAAATGGGTTTTTTTTTTTTGTATATTCCTGATTATGTGTACTTTAGCTTCTTTGTCTTTTTGGATTTGAAATGGGATAAGCAACTTGATTGTATTTGTTTCTTCATTATTCTTGTACTAACTGAGGAAAACCAAAATATATTCAGCTTCTCTTATATTTATATGAAAAAAAAGTAACAATACAATTTTCTCAAGAAGGATACACAAATGTCTGACAAAGAAAGGGGACCCCGAGATTTTATTTATTTATTTACTTTGGTACAGCAGAAGAGAAAGAAACAACAAAACACAGCTAAGGTGGAGGGAGATTCAGAGTCTAGATCCTCCGATACTCCGTTCCCACCATATCAGCTACAATCTGACTTCTGACTTCAAAAGGTGGTTCCTCCAGTCCCACTAGTGGCTCAACTTGATCAGCTCCCATGTTGGCGAGTTTATCAGCGCATTGGTTAGCTTCGTGCAAAATATGGCAGACGGAGCAGTTTCACCAATGGAGTAGATGGTGCAAGTTTTCCACAATTTATGTGTATGGGCAATTCTGAGGTGGCCCATTCATGAGTAACTCTTGAGCCATGGTAGAGTCTGTTTCGATGACGATTTCAGTGAGTCCTTTCTCCAGCACTATGGTAAGGCCTCTGTTGATGCCCCACATATGACTATAGCACGTCTCTAACTTCCCAAAGAATCTGCACGGCTCGGTTTGGGGCGATGATTTTTAGAAATATTATTATCATTCACAATATAATCCTAAAATATTATTTGCAACCTAAGAATTGTTTACATAAATGTTTAGAATTAGTTCCACCACTATACAATAACGTACTTGTAAAAGTACCGAAATGTGACTCATGTATATGTTTAGTAAGATATTTGAGTGTTTATGGTGGTTAACAAATTATATATATATAATCGGTATGGTATATAATTATAAAATCACAGATTGAATCATGAAGTACAGTTTAAATATTTTAAAATTCAAGGCCAAATCGTCGAGTGAGAAAACCATACTAAATCGAGCAGTTTAGTTTTGATCGGATCGATTTGCGATTTTTCTTTTTTTGCTCAGCCATAATCTCACTTTTTTTTTAATTAAATAATCTAAAAGTAAATAAATAAATTTAAAATTACAACAAAACACAATTAGTCAACTTCTTTTAAGAAAATAAGTTAAAATAGGATAATGATATATAGCTGAAAATGAAAATTACATGAGTATCAGTTGATTCACAGTAAGTATGAAAACATAGTTGACTAATGGTTATATTAAAGTTTTTTCTTGCAGCTATTAATTATTTTATTTTAAAAAAAATAAATATTAATGATTGATTACCCATACATATTCTCAACACTACCAATACTATTACTAATTAATCTCCTAATACTGCTATTTAAAACTCTGTCAATCTCTCTCTGTTGGTCACATTTTGATTGAGCCATTGTCTAACAGAGATTGTTTTAATTAAAAAATCAATACAAGTCACATGAAGAATTCTATCAATCTCACCACCTGCAACAACAATTCCTGGTTTGGTTTCGTTTTCTTCTTCATTTCACGGTTTCTATAAGTCAAGGATGTGAATTACAAGATGTTATTAAATATGATGAGCATTATACCTGGTTGAAATGTTGCTGCAGCTTCTCATTTGTGAAATTAATACAAAAATCAGTATCAACTAAAATTGAAACATCCCTGCTAACTGTATATCATTCAAGTTAGGATCTTGTCCAATTGAAACATTAATTGTATCAACTAACCTGTATATCACAAAAATCAGTCAGCTTTAGTATCACACGCTTAGTTAAAACAAAATCCAGAGACATAATCATGAAAGTGAAAACAATGATGCAAACTCCCATATCTTACCAGTCAAACAAACGGTAATATATTGTCTTAGCTAAACCATCCCTGCTAACTGTTGCCTGAACAGGATCAAGACTTCTCTTGATAACTTCTTCTGGGGTGATCATTACACGCTTTAGCAGTGCATCTTCCAATGCACCAAGATCACACCTGAAATAAGGATTAAATTAACTTATACAGATATCAACCATAAAAACAAAAATATCAAGGCTAGTCTCACATGAGAAGGTCTGCTGCCGTTTGAAGATGGAATTTGGATTTGTCATCTTTTAAAACAGAAGAATCAATTTCTTTCCCCTTAGTAAATTCAACATTACCAAGATGAAGAATTGCAGCCACAACTCTGAAAATTGCATCCTGACAGAAACAAAGAAGTTTTTTCAATTTTACTCTATTAAAAAAAATGTGGAAATATGGCAAACACATTTTTGGATACAAAGGCTATACTTGATCTTTCTGACTGATTCCAACAATATCCATAGCTCTCCTAGTGGCAAGATAATCATGAGCATCACTTATACCAACGAGGTCATAGCAATTTGATTGGTTAAGATAGTGAAATGATTTAGGATCTCCCAACTTGTATTTCGCAACTTCCTGTGAGATTTGAAGACTATTAAAAATAATGTTTTTTGACTATAAATTTAAAAGTTTTTCATCAAAGGGATGAACAATATGAAAGAAGATACAGTGAAAAACCTGCCTCTGGTGGTGCTGCACAAAGAAGGTAAAAACAATGATAATTCCGTTCTGGGTCTGAAATTTGACAGACACGAGATCTCTCAAGAAGATAAGTTCTAATGGCTGCTCCTGAAATTCTTCCATGCTTATCAAATTGAATCTCGACAAATTTACCAAAACGGCTGTTCCAATAAATATGATTACATGATCAATCAATAAGAAAACGCCAACAAATTCTGGAAAATGCATTGTGCTTATGTACGTGAAATAATTAGAGAAGGTTCACAGAATGACTGAAACATCTCACCTGGAATTGTTATTTCGAACAGTTTTTGCATTGCCGAATGCTTCAAGAACTGGATTTGACTGCATTTAGTTGATAAAACATGAGCTTCAGATAGGCAAAGGTTAGAAAGCTAAATAGAATAAATCATAAAGGAGGATAAATATTCTGCAAATCATATGCATATAAACACGAAATCTCAATCTGGCATCTTCATATCCTGCATCATCTGCTTTCAAATAAATAACATGAACCAAAACCTTGAAAATGTTCAAATATTCAAGAACATTAGCTCCCCCACAGTGGGCTATATGATATTGACAAAACAAACTAATTCTGACCAGAGTCCTCCATCTAAGCCAGATTCTGTCAATTATCTACTTACATGCTACCGTCCTTTGGTACAATTAGGATTTGTTGGGTTGAATTGAGTTTCATACTCTTATGAAAAAAAATCTGAGCAGATTGAGGATGGAAAAAACTAAAGTAAATACATCATGCAAGTTCATTCCTTGTTGGTTTTGCAGGGTACAGGATTTCTATTATTTCATGGAAAAGTCTCTTATGGCCACATAACAGTCCCGACTGACATGGGAAGAATTCTTTATATAAATTGAGCAAGGGACAATATGGCATAGAGTTCGATTGCTGACATGGCGTCCATCTGTTTAAAAGTGTTCATTTATTTATATCTTGTAGAGCTTGGACCTCAGAATTTGGAAATAGGCTTAGGGCTATAATTTTGTTGATCTATAGCTTTATCACACCATTACAGCAACATGGGTCCTGTACATATGTTTTCTTCTTTTACTAATGACAATCTTTCATATATCAAAACATGCTAGTTAGAATAACTCAATTCTTAATTCTATCAATTAAACCTTATTTTTTATGTTTGAAGCATGTGTAAGACATGTTCATCATAAGTGCACCTCCAACATGAAGTATAAGTAAAAAGAGACAAATAATATTTTGTGCGGCGAGAAGGAAATCCATATTTTTTCCTTGAAGACCTGCACAGCAAAGCCAGTGCCACATTCAGAATAACATTAGACTTCATGATTTTGGAGGTCGCCACAAAAAAACCTCATATCCATGATCAGGGGTGGATCTAGTATAGAGCCAGAGGAGTCATGTGCCCCATTTCAACTTTTAATATTTACACTAATACCCCTATTATACATAAAGATTATATCTTGTTTATCCCCCCCCATAAAATTGTAATTGTGCCCCTCCTTAAATCATGTAAAATTCCTCTGTGTTTTTTTCATTTTAAAAGTGTCCTATTCTATTCTTTTGGCCATTCTTGCACACTCTTAACTGGAGGCCAAGGGCAAGAATTGAATCAATTGATCATTTCTTTCTCATTATGGGATTTGTTTAGTTGGTTGTTTCTTCCCATTGTGAAGCTCTTTGTTCAGTTGATAGGGGGGCTTGTTAATTGTGTTGGTTATTTCTCCCTATTGTTGGGTTAATAGAATTGGGTTGTTGATTGTGGATTTATAAGCCATGTTGGTGTAATTCTCATGATAATTGTAATATTGTATCTCACAGATAGACCAAAAAGAAGAAGAAAAATTTGTATAAGTTTAATAACATCTCGTTGTTGCTTTTTATGGGGAAAACAATTTCAAAGTTGTGATTAATATGTGCCCCTCTATGTTGAACTTCTGGCTCTGCCACTGTCCATGATAGACATCAATACACAGACCATGTGGCAGAGTTTGAACCTCAAAAAATAAGTCCCAAGACATTTACATGATCCTTGACAGGACAAGCACCGCTGACCATTTAAACATTAACAAGCATAAAACTAGAGTTAGATCATCTATCTTACTTCTAGAACTTGTTGCACAACAGTCCTTCCTTCAGTGCCTTTACGACCACCCATAAAGGCAAGGTACCGCATGAGCATTTTAGTAGTTTCTGTCTTACCAGCCCCGCTTTCACCACTGACCAGAATGGAGTTGCTTTTGCCCTCATTGATCATTGCCCTGAATCATTTCAAGCAATTTAGTAAACTATATGAATCATCCTTCAAAAAAGAACATAGAAAATAGACAAAATAAAAGGTTACCTACCTATAAGCAACATCAGCAATAGCAAAAACATGAGGACTCAGTTCCCCAAATGGTGCTCCCTTGTATTGTTCCATCATGTGACCATCATATAGATGAGGCAGTCTTTGGAATGGATTAATGGCAATAAGAATACTTCCAGTATAAGTCTGTCATAATTTCAGAGTACGATAGAATATTATGACAGAGCCATCCATAGCTGCATTAATTCATTGATTTCTCTCACCAGGGTGAACATTAATTAACTAATATCATAAACTGAAGGTGAAGACAGTCTTACATAAATTTCATTGGTATGATATCTCAATGCCAAATTCTGCAAAACTCCAGGCTCATGCAAATATGATAGCTTAGTCATGTCATCGACTCCACCAGCAGGAGCTTCCATATCCTTTGGATAAATTTTCGATAAACTAGCAACAACCTGACCATAGAAAACAGGGGAAATTTCAAGTAGATGAATGAAGCCAAATAACTAAATCAACAGATATAATATTCAATTTACAAATGTTAAAGTCAAGTTGCACAGGTATTCATTATTTCACATGGAATTGTCAAAAACTAAGGAATACATGCAAAAGTACTTTTTTTTTCCATTCATTAACCAGGATAGGCATATGAAATAGAATGATATAATGAATTTTTTGAAAAAAACCAATTAATTTTCAGGTTGAAAACCAGACAACTCTCAATTCTTAAAGAAAAGACAGAGAACAAAAACAGTTCACTTTTGAGGAAATGCAACTTCAGTGGTAGATACATGTCTTACTTTTGAAGATCCAAAAATAAATGAAATTGTACAACACAAAATAAACAATATACATCGTAATTAACAAGTAATTCATAGAAAATAGATTTATGCACATATTAAAGCAGTAAAGTCCTAAACCACACGATGTAATTAGACTAGGGAGTACTGAAATGTACAACACACAGAAATAAACCCAAGAAACATCTAATTTTTGGAAATCGTCTTTGACTTAAACTAAGCTAACCTTTTAGAGAAGAAAAAGTTACATTCATGCAGTCATTATCCATAGTGGCTGTCCAGTGATTTTAAATGCTCAAGGCGCACCAAGGCACCAGATACAGGCCTAGGCGCAAGGTGAGGAACACCTTTTTGGTAAGAAATAGATAAACTAATAATTCAAACTTGAACAAAAGCAAAATGAAAGAACAAAGGTAAATTGTAGAAGAATTCTCAAAGCCATAAAAGCACATATCATTCCAAATGCAAAATAGTCAACATTCAACAAAACACAAATATCCAAAAAAAAAATCAGAAAAATGATCAGTCGCACAGCTGCAACAGTTGGAAAAATTAAAAAGAGAAGTAGTCTAGAAGCAGAAGTAAATCAGAGAAGATGAAGGAGAAGAAGAAGAAGAGAAGAAAAATTGGAGCAGAGGATTAAAAAAAACAGAAATAGCAATGTGAAAAAGATACAACCCAACCAAGGAGAAAAAAAAGAAAAAAAAATAGACCCCAGATACGTGAAGAAAAAGAAGAGTAGATTTATTCCCCTATGGCAGCATATATAAGTCCATCATAGTATAAAAATATAAAATCAACGGCTGGTATTAGAAGGAAAAACAAAAGGAGAATCTTAAATGAACACGCACCTAAGCACACACCTCAAGCGCCTGGCTACACTTCATTGAATGCGCCTTGTTACATGATCTTGGGTAGAACTCAACCCCAAAAGCTAACTATTAAGGTGACATTGCTTTAGTACTCCAGCGATGCAGGACTTCGCTTCACACCCTCCCTCACGCCCAGCATACTCACTCGGCAGCATTTGTGGCGTGCAGGCCAAGGACACGCACCCTACCCATCCCTAAGTACTCCAACTCTGATACCGTGTTACACGATTTTGGATAGAGCTCAACCCCAAAAGCTAGCTATTCAGGTTAGGATGCCCTCCTCACATTTATATGCTTAACATTACTTTAGTACTCAGGCGATATGGGACTTCGGTTCACAGTCTTGCCATGTACAAGTCGCATTATCTGTGCCTCGTATCTAGGCAAGCATCTATATGCGCCTTTTACAACACTGCTAGTCCCTGGAAAGGGGTGTCGGGTACAAAGGCTTTGTATAAGGTCGCCTTCTTTGTTTGGTGTGCAAGACATGGCAAGATCCTTCTATAGAAAATCTAATTAGAAGGACGCAGGTTCATGTTAATTGGTGTTACATGCTGGAGTTGTGGTCATTGATTCTCATGTTTGGAGTTGCTTGGGTTGGGTATTCCTGAGGAAGGGAGGTGGAGGCCTTCTTTGCTTATGGAGAGGAGCTAGTGTGAGTAGGAGGAGGAAGGCTTGGTGTCTGGTTCCTTTGGCGCTTATGAGGTTAGTTTGTGGCAAATGGAATAAAAGAACTTTTGTTTAAAAAAAAACAAAGAGTTTTTTAAAAAATTAAGAATTTTTATTGTCTTTTTTATATTGTTGATTTTTGGGGATGGTCAATTAGTCCTTGAACCAATTTTTTAATTTTGTAGAGACCTTAGAATAGGTTTGTGACGTATAGATGTTATCGTAGGTCTTCTTTTGTATAAAGGTTGTGTACCCTCCTCAGTGCCTCTTTTTTTAATAATATTATACCTACAAAAAATAAATAAAAAAGTATAGCACTAGCATAGAACTCTATTTACCAGATTACCCGGATATTTTTAACTCAACAGTATAATCTGAGTCTCTGACAATTCCGATACGGCCACCAAGCTGCAGCTTCCACTTCCCAACTTAGTGTTGTATTCTTCATTGACAAGATAATTTGAAATAAGTTCAAGTTGTTAATATATGCAATGTAATCAAGCCTCTTTTTTATTGTTTCCACATCCTTGTAATATTTGCATATCTTTCCCAAAGGATCCGTTTGTTTCTATGAAAAATAATTCCTGGAAAATATTTCAATAATTTTTCTTTTCAGTTTGGTAAATATTACCTTGTCCGTTTTGTGAATATGGAATAAATTTAAAAAGAAAGAAAGAAAGGAGGGGGGGAAAAAAAAAAGGCCTCTTGGCACTTGAATTACTCCTTTTTTCTCTGATTATGTATGTAATGGAGGGGAATTGATCAGATGCAAAACCCCACCAGAACCAGCAGTTAGTTTTGACAGTTTTCTAGGATAGTGTCAACGGCTGGGAGCGAAGGCTTGAGGAAAAGCAAACAACTGAGATCTAAGGATTTCTGTAACCCTTTTATGAATTACGCCTCATTTGATTTCCCATAATTAGGATGTGGATCTCTCAGACCTAGAATTCATATGGTTTGTTCTCACTTCCTTCCCTGCTTTTCTGTTTGTTGCTAGAGATTCACAAAAAAGGTATTTATGCAGCTACTGCAGCAATCAGACAGCAGAATCAAGCCTTCTGCTACATAATTTGGCAGTCAAAACTCGTATCAAAATTCCCAAATTTGAAGAATAACAAATAAGCAATAAAACTGAAATTTAAAATTTTGATCAGCACACAAGAATTGGTTGGATAACTAGGCAAATTTATGGTATATGCAGGCAGAACTATGGCACTTCAGTTTTAAGAAATGAATCAAGTGAAGATACAAAAGCTAATGTCCAATTGGTTCAATCATATTTACCGTCTTCCCATTAGTAGTCTGGATCTCAACTTCTGATCCATTAATCTTTGAAACTTGTCCATCAATCCAAGCAACATCTGGATCTTCAACCCAAACCTGAGAACCTACAATGATATTCACTGGAGTGCCCTGCATATGAAATTCAATAAATAATAAAAGTTTAGAAGCTCAAATAATCAAATTGATGCGGAAGCAAGAAAAATAGTTCTACTAGCAAACAAGATAGAAAAGATTTCATATACACAACTGAATTCTATTCATATAGTGCCTCAATATCCACCGCCACAAACATTTATACAACAGAGAAGAAAGTCAAGACAAATTTGATATTTCAGGTCCTGAAGTTTGCAAGCAATAAATCACGGCATGTAGATTTCTACGCCTATCAACATTTTTTTTTTAGTACAATCATTAACCAAAAAGACACCAAAGGGGTGAGCAAAACTGAAAGAATCTATACATCCAAAATTACTGAAAGACTCCACAAAATCCAAAACTTGATTCAAAGATGGGTCTAGGCCATCCAAGAACCAACTATACAAAATGGACAAAAGTATGCCCCGAAGCTTAAAAAGAGGCACCTCCAGCCCTTTAGAAGTCCTATTGTTCTGTTCCCGCCAAATAATCCACATAAGTGCTAATTGCATGCTCTACACCCTCCTTCTCCTCTTTCCCACCCAAGCTCCCCTTCAAGAGTGAAAGAGACCCTCCACGTCCTTGGGGAAAACCCAAACCACACCAAATCAAGAACCAGGTCCACAAATCTCTAGCCACATCACAATGAATTTACAGATGACTGGCTCCTGCTTATAGCCTAATCCTAAGCTCACACTATTTAACTTAGCCACTGCCAAGTGCCAACCTAAACCCTATGCCTAACCTGAAGTAACCTAGGCCTATAACCGATCCAGCAGCCCACCTTTTAGCCAACCCACAAATCCAGTCAAGTTTTTGCATTAACAAAAATCCTCAACCTTATTTTTTCCCTTTATTTTGTCCTTCTTATCATATCATGATGGTCAACAAGAAATAAGACAATGTTATAAAAAAAATGATTGATCAGAATAAGAAACTAATAGAGTAGATGTGCCAAATACAAGCAACTTTGGATAAAATGCTGGCACATTTTTTATGAGATACTTCAAAAAAACCCTCTTAAGAAATTGTGATGATGAAGTGAAAATTGTTGAGCAAGAGATTCCAAAGCACAAGGAAGTTGATTTGAAAGGTATCGAAATTCAAGAAGTTGTACTTGAAGGGCAAGAAAATTCTATGCACAAAACAAGTTCACCAAAAGAAAAGCTTCTTGCACGTGAGTGTACTCACATTGTTGAATCTTGTTGACTCGCAAGCAACCAATTCTTTAATCAAATTGGGAAAGATTGATTTAATTTGGTGTTGAAAGTTTTCTTTATGTTTTTAAACCATATTTGGTAGACATCGTCAACAACTTGAAAACCAGTATACTTTGGACAATGTACTTAAGGAGCATACATTTCAAAAGAAAACAACAAATCAAACAAACATTTTTGGATCAGCATTATCAACATATGCCATTCATAAACACAAAGAAGCTCACAATAGCGGGAAATTGAAATTGAATTAAAATACAGGCCTAAGAAAAGCTCACATACCATTGTTGAATTCACAAGAAAAGCTCAACGCTAATCTTTGAAATCAAGATCCACTCATTATTCCAAATTTCCATCGAAAATCAAACAAATACCAAAACCGGCATTTCTTTTGAAGAATGAGAAAGCGTAGGCATGGTGATTCGCCGGAAAATGCAGGGAAGATTGGAAGGAAGAGAAAAAAGTCAGAATTGAAGTGGTGGTTGATTGTTGGTGTAGTAGTTTTGGTTATTCTGAGTTCGGAATGTGAGAGTGCGTGTCGTTTGGTTTGTGGAGGTGACATTTCTTGGACAACCCTACAACTTCGGATCAGTTGAAAACACTCACACAACTTCGCCACTTTGCCGGAACCTCTTGTGGCTCTCTTTCTTTCAGTCTCTCTCTCTCTCTCTCTCGTTATGTTATGGGAAATATTTTGCTCTTTTTTTTCCTAAAAAATAAAAAACATTTTTTTAGGTGAAATTATAAATAAAATAAAAAAATGAGAGGCCCGCTAAATATACACCTTGCTATACATATTAGATTAATATTTTTGGAATTTTAGTTTTTTTTTTTTGGGATTTTTATTGATAAGTCCAATTTAGAAGTATTTTAATTCAAGAAGTCTATGAAGGAATTTTTTAACCCATTTAGTCTCATGTATGTATAGTTTTATTCCATAAAATCCATTTTCTTGATTTACATTATTTTCTTGGACACTTATGCCCTTATATTTAATTTTGATACCTTTATAAATATTTTTTCAACGATTAGCAATTTAATGATGTGAACATTCATATTTTTAAATTCACATTTGTAGTAATGTAAATTGGCTCGTGGGCGGCCCGAAACCCACCCGCGAGCCAGGGCGGGTCCGGCCCGTTGACAATGTGAATATTCACATTGACATGTTAACATTCACATTAATAGGAGTATTAATGTCACGACCCAAACCCGGCCCTATGGGTTTAGCACCGTAACCGGCCAGTAATCCGAGATTACCGAAGGCCTGCAGAACAGTAATACAGTAGTAAAATTGGCCCCTCGCGTCCCGTGCGGCGAGAAACCCGCCGCGGCCCATGGGCGGGCCCGATCCGGCCCGTTGACAATGTAAATATTCACATTGACATGTTAACATTCACATTGATAAGAGTATAAAATTGGGCCGCGGCCCATGGGCAGCCCAAAAAGCCCGCCCGCAGCCTGGGGCGGGCCCGGCCCAGCCCGTTGACAATGTGATATTCACATTGACATGAATATTCACATTGATAAGAGTGTAAAATTAGCCCGCGCCTCGTAGCTGCCCGAAACCCGCCCACGGCCCGTGGCGGGGCCCGGCCCGGCTTGTTGACAATGTGAATGTTCACATTGACATGTTAACATTCACATTGATAAGTAGTATAAAACTAGACAGTAGCCCAGGGCGGGCCCGACTCGGCCCAGCTCGGCCCGTTGACAATGTAAATATTCACATTGACATGTTAACATTCACATTAATATAAGAGTGTGAAAATTAGCCCCCGTCCCCGTGGCCGGCGTAAACCCGCCGCGGCCCGGGCGAAGCCCGGTCCGGCCCGTTCGACCGATTTATATTCGAACATGTGAATTTAACATCACATTATAAAGAGTATAAAATTGGCCCGCGGCCCATGGGACGGCCAAAAGACCTGCCCGCGGCCCGGGACGGGCCCGGCCCGCCCGTTAACAATGTGAATGTTCACAATTGACATGTTAACATTCACATTGTAGAAGATGTAAAATTGGCCCCAGCCTGGGCGGCCGAAACCGACCCGCTGAGCGGCGGCCGCAGGCGGAAGCCCGACCGCACCCGAAGCGGGCTTGGCCCGACCCGTGACAATGTGAATATTCACATTGACAATGTTAACATCACATTGATAGGAGTGTAAAATTAGCCTGCGCCCCGTGGCTTGCCCGAAACCCGTCCACGGGCCCATGGGCGGCCGGCGGCCCGGACCCCTTGTTGACAATGTGAATATTCAACATTGACAAGTTAACATTCACATTGATAAGAGTGTACAATTGGTCCGTGACCCTGGGCAGCCCGAAGCCCGACCTCGAGCCAGGGCGGGCCCGGCCCTTGGCAATGTGAATATTCAACATGTTGACATGTTAACAATTCACATTGATAGGAGTGTTAAAATTGGCCCGCAGCCCGTGAAGGCCCGAAGTCCCGATCGCAGCCCGAGGCGGCTTGGCCCGACCGTGACAATGTGAATATTCACATTGACATGTACATTAACATTGATTAGGAATGTAAAAACTTGTCCGCTGCCGAAGCTCCGCCCCGCGGCCCGGGGTAGGCCCGGACCCAACCGCACTCCGGGCCACGTTCGGGCCGCCCATGGGATGCGAGTCAATTTTACACTCTTATCAATGTGAATGTTAACATGGCAATGTAATATTCACATTATTAACAGGCCGGCCGGGTCCGCCTCGGGCCGCCCACGGGCCGTGGGGTGTTTCGGGCAGCCACGGGGCACGGGCTAATGTTACACTCTTATCAATGTGAATGTTAACATGTCAATGTGAATATTCACGTTGTCAACGGGCCGGGGCCAGGCTTCGGGCTCGCCCACAGGTCACGGGCTAATTTTTACACTCTTAATCAATGTTAATGTTAATATGTCAATGTGGAATATTCACATTGTCAACGAACGGCCGGGCCCGCCCTGGGCAGCGGGCGGGTTTCGGGCCGCCCACGAGCCACGGCCAATTTTTACACTCCTATCAATGTGAATGTTATATGTCAATGTGAATATTCACATTGTCAACGGGCCGGATCGGGCTCGCCCGGGCCCCATGGCGCGAGTCAATTTTACACTCTTATCAATGTGAATGTTAATTATGTCAATGTGAATATCACAATTGTCAACAAGCTGGGTGCGGCAGGCCGGCCGCCCACGGCCGTGGCTAGTTTCGGGCAAGCCACGGACGCGGGCTAATTTTATACTTCTTATCAATGTGAATTTAACATGTCAATGAAATATTTGCATTATCAACGGGTCGGGCGGGCTCGCCCAAGGCAGCCCACGAGCACAGGCGGGTTTCGGGCCGGCGACAGGCCTTGGGCTAATTTTACACTCCTATCAATGTGAATGTTAACATGTCAATGTGAATATTCACATTGTCAACGGCCGGGCCGGGCCCGCCCCAACCCGGGCTCGGGCCCAGGCTTCGGGCTGCCCATAGGTCATGGACCAATGTTACACTCTTGTCAATGTTAATATGTCAATGTGAATATTATATTGTGAACGGCCGGCCCGGGCGACGGACTGGTTTCGGGCCCGCCCACGGGCCCTCAGACCAATTTTACACTCCTATCAATGTGAATTGTTAACTTGTCAATGTGAATATTCATATTATCAACGGGCGGTCGGGCTTATTTTTTTGGCTTGTGGCCGGCCCGGCCCGACTCGAATTTTTCCCAGCACCCCGAGGATCGACATGAGCTGGGCCCCTACACATTTGACGATATAAACATTTATATTGACGGTGTGAACATTC